GGGGCCCCATGGGCCAGACAGTGGGTATCTAAGGAGGAAGTGATGTTCTCACAGCACCTGGCAAAGCCCAGAGGTCCCGGGAACTGCCTGGAGGTTACCTATCCTCTCTGTGGGCTGCTGGGGGGTGCGGTGCATCTGCCCAGGATCATTGCAGCAGCGCCCTCACTGTTCTTTACAGCATTAATTTGCTGTGAAGAGGCCTGAAACACTCCCCCTTTGAGAGCACCTTCTTTCCCCTGCCTCTCCAGGCTCTCCCTTTCCCTAGGCTGCAAAATAAAAATAATTTATTATCCCCTAACAACTACTGAAACTATTATGCCCTTCAAACCTCTTTAAAAAGTAGTTGCCGTCCATACATTGTATTTTTCCACCAGCCATGTCTCAACCTTCTACAACCCAGTAAAGACCATATTCATATTTTTAAATCTCTAAAATTAGGAATAAATTTTACATGCAATGACATCCTTAAAATTCTAAAATTGACAATATTTTTTTGTTTCCAAGTAGCCTATAAATTAATGACGCATCTTTGAATTCATGCCATCCTAAATTCTATGAACTATGGTATGTGTAATGCTCCGTGGAAAGATTCTAGATTAGAACCTTCCCAAGGGCAGGGAAGAGAAACTGTTTCTGTTTCTTATACATCTCATACCCTCACCTCCCACACTCAGTGCTTAGCCCAGCAGTGCTACATGTATTAGCACATTACATCTGAGATGATGAAGTGTGTACTGACTGTAAGTTCTCTTACACTGAGAACTTTGAGGAAGAAACAGAACCGTAAAACAAAGTCCAGTCAATCAAAGAGATATTCCTGGTGATCTTTTCTATCATCAAAAATTTAACTGAATTCCCAAACTCCTGAACCATAATTATTTATAAATGTTTTATTTATAAAACTACTTAATCAACAATGTCAGTAATTCATACAGATACAAAAAAATCATTCACAATACCTAAGGATATTTTGTCATCAATGTTGTGCAGTTAAAAGGTATTCCTGGTGTTCAGAACATCATTTTATAGCTTTACAAAACAAACTATTAGCTGGTATAGCAAACCAGCACCAAGGAAATATTTTGACTTGCCTTATAGTATCTATGAATTACTTGGCTTAGAATTTTGTTTTTTTATCTAGTCAGACCAAGTTGGTACCTTATGAAGAAAAATGAATTGTTTTCATATGTGACTTAGAATGTGGTCAGAATAAGGCTGGGTGCCAGGCACCATTAGCCGTGGGGCAGCACCGGTCATGAATGACTCATGTCCATTCTTATTAGTCAACATCCCTGCCAAACTGATTGATAATAACTTTAGTATCTCCCCCAGTCACCTAATTATGAGCCCCAATTCTTTTACATCTATCAAAGGGACATCATTTCAAGAAAGTAATAGGAATTTTATTCAAAACCTCTTCTGAGGATGCTCTGTAGATAGTGGAATTCATCTCTAATCTCAGTGCATCAGCTATACTTACATGTTGCTGCACACTGAGGGAAGATAATCAAAGAGGGGACCAGCAGTAAGATCATCTTCCATCAAAGGAATATCCTAGCCCTAGCTTGTTTGATTCAGTGGATAGAGCTTCGGCCTGCAGACCAAAGGGTCTCAGATTCAATTCCCAGTCGAGAGCACCTACTTCAGCTGTAGGTTTGGTCCCCCTGCTGGTCGGAGTGCATGTGGGAGGCAACCAATCCATGTGTTTCTCTCACATAGATGTTTCTCTCTCTCCCCTTCCACTCTCTTTAAAAAATCAATGGAAAATTATCCTCAAATGAGGATTAACAACTACAAAAAAAGGAATATCTTATTCACTGCTCACACTACCTAGAAGCCAGGAAGAATAGAAACATTTATGACCAGAATGAACCAACCGCCTTTCTCTTTGATCATTACCTTCAAATTATGTTAAGCATCATATCTTCGTGTATCCTGATTCAATATGATTTTTCTGTATGAGCCCAGGGCTGCAGTTTATTAAAAATTTAAACTTGCCCCTGCAAACCTTACAGGAATCCAAACTGAGATAGCCAGAGATTTTTGGCCAACTCATTATTATTTCTTGAGCACAGGATGTTTACCACACTGCTCCAAGCTGATCTGCATTCTGCACGGGTTATAGGAGTAGATCTGCCAAGGGGTTTGGAAACTCTAGGACAGATAGGCCCCTCTCTTGGTTAAGTTATAGCTCCACACCTACAGATTTGCCCAGCCAGGGCCTCCAAATATGTTGCAATGAGCATTTTGAAACACATGGATCATGTTCTGGCTTCCAGGCAGTTCAGCAAAATGCTTCGGCTGGAGAATTGCAAAAGTTCGTGATTTGTCACCAAGGAATGAAATCTGACGCAGTAGAGCAAACTGCAGACATTTAATACCAGATGTCAATGTAAAAATTGGAAAATTGTGGCCCCGCGTCATTATCTGACTCCTGACCGGCAGAAATCCACCCCAATCCAGAAGGCATCATAATTTCTGCCTTCTTCCACTATTAAACTAGGGAGGAAATCGTGCTTATTTGCATCGAGAGAGAAAGAGAACACCTGAAACACACATTTCAAAACACCGACGTTTGTTTGTACTCCTTCCCTGAATCTGTACACGTGAGGAATCGAATGACTGCTTCAGAAGGAGGGATGGACTGTTCAGGAATCTCGTGTCTGTGAGGAGAGAGAGCTGGGTGTGGAATGAGGAGTTGTAGGTAAGAAGCTCTGGATTAGGTGTCAAATCTGAGTGACTTTTTTACTTTCTGGAAATATAGGGCAAAGCACTTCACCTTCTCTGCAGCTCATTTCCTCTTCCTGAAAATGGGTTTAACATGAATGCTCTGACCACTACACAGGATTGTGGTGAGGCTCAAAGAACACTGTGTAAATACATAAAGAAACTGAAAAATTATGTACAACTATGAAGGAAATCACTCAAGCTTTGTTGTTTCAACCTGAATCCTGAGGAAGCTGAGGCTTAAAAAAACTCCTCTAAAAGGCTCTTCATTAAGTGGTGCCTCGAAAATTGGAAAGCCACATACAAAAGAGTGAAGCTAGGCTGCTATTGGATACCATACACAAAGTTACCTCAAAAATGGATTAAAGACTTAAATATAAGACCTGAAACAATTAAATACATAGAAAAAAAATAGATACCAAACTTACGGTCCTTGGTGTCAGAGAGGCTTTTATAAACTTGATCCCAAAAGCAAGGGAGGCGCGGGGGTATAGCTCAGTTTTAGAGCATTTGACTTCAAAAGCAAGGGAAGTAAAAGCAAAAAAATAAATGAATGGGACTATATCAAACTAAAAAGCTTCTGCCAGAAAAAGAAACCATCAACCAAACAAAAAGGCAGCCAACCAAATGGGAGAAAATATTTGCAAAGAATACTACAAATAAGGGGCTAGCATCCAAAATATATAAAGAACTCATACAACTCAACAACAAGAAGAAAACAATCTAATTTAAAAATGGGTAGATGATCTGAAAAGATACTTTTCCCAAGAAGATATACAAATGGCCAACAGATGTATGAAAAGATACTCAATTTCACTAGCCATCAGGGAAATTTAAGTCAAAACTACAATGAGATATCACCTCACACCTGTTAATATGGCTACTATTAATAAAACAAGAAATAACAAGTGTTGGTGAGAATATGGAGAGAAAGGAACCCTCATACACTGCTGGAGGGAATGCAAATTGGTACAGCCACTGTGGAAAACAATATGCAGGATCCTCAAAAAATTAAGAATAGAGCTGCCATATGAAAATCTGGAAACATTTATTTGTAAGATATATGTACCCCTATGTTCACTGCAGCATTATTCACAGTAGCCAAGAGATGGAGACAACCGAAGTATCCTTCGATGGATGATTGGATAAAGAAGATGTGGTACATATACACAAAGGAATTCGACTCAGCCATAATAAAGGATGAAATACTGTCATTTGCAACAATATGGAGGGATCTTGAGAGAAGCAGCTAAGAAAATAAGTCACACGGAAAAGCACAAGAACATATGATTTCACTTACATGTCAGATATAAAACAGAAATCAACAAACAAAAACCTACTTATAGGCACAGGTAACAGTTATCAGAGGAGAAAGGGAGAATGAAGAGGGTAAATATATGGTGATAAAAGGAAACTAGACTATGGGTAGTGAGCACACAGTGCAATATATAAATGATGTATTATAGAATTGTACATGACACTTATGTAATGTTATTAACCAATGTCAATAAATTAAATTTAAAAAAAAATTCCTCTAAGTCCAGGGATGAGGTGGAAAGAACTTTAAAATGACCCTCTTCTTACCAGACGGAAGTATCTTACCTTTGTTTCTATATACATTTGATATGTAAAGCAGCAGAGAGGAAAGGAGAGAGTGTGGATATAAGATCTTAGTAAATTGCAAGAAATTGAGTTTATTCAACTGACCCAGGCAAAAGCACTACCATAGGGTTTAGCATCTCTGTGGAGAGCTAAGCAATAGCAGGGGCTGTTCTAGAGAAATACAAACCAGTACAAGAGTCAAGTCCTGCCCTCAAGGGAGAATCCAGTTCTCTCTCTCCTTCCCGCCCCCCCTCTCCCTCTCCCACTCTCAAATCAACAACAATTATAATGTGCAACACTAGCAAGAAAAGCTCACAGAATGGGCAAATGAGAAAGGGTCTTTGAGACCATACTGCCTGATTTTCCTATTGATGGGCTGGGTGGCCAAGGCCGGGGGAAGTCAGTCAGTGGCATGATCCACCCACCACAAATCAGCAGCATCATGCAATGAGAAGCCAGAGAGAGCCTGGCCCCCTTGCTAATAAAATGTTCTTGATCTCACATTAACTGTGAATGAGGGTTTGTATTCACTTCTCAAATACAATCTTTGAGGAATTAAATTTATTTTTCAGAGATATATAACTGGAAACTCTTATCTCCCTTTCTCCTCTTTTCTCTCCATTGCTTTTTTCCTCTCTTGCTTTCTTCATCTCTCTTCCTTTCCTTCACAGGTATGTATACCCGGAGGCAGACGAGAGAGATGAAGATTGCAGATGTAACTCAAAGGAATACACTGAGCAATCCTATATAATAAAAGCCTAATATGCTAAGTGTCCGGTCGTCCATTCAACCAATCAAAGTGTAATATACTAATGATATGCTAAGGCTGCTCAACCACTCGCTATGTTGTGCACTGACCACCAGAGGGCAGACAGTCAACCAGCCAACCAGTCGCTATGATGTGCAATGCCCACCAGGGGGCAGACGCTCCAACAGGTAGGTTAGCTTGCTGTTGGGGTCCAGCCCATGAGCGAGATGGGCCGGACACACCCTGGAGCCCTTCTATGATCCTTCTCCTGCTGGCCAACCTCCTGTGTCCCTCCCCAGCCCTGATCGTACTCCAGTGGGATCCCTTGGCTTGGCCTGCGCCCTCTTGCAATCTGGGCTGAGGGACACCCCCCCCCCCCGAAGTGCATGAATTTTATGGGCCTCTAATTGCCTATAAAAGCTCAAAACTTGAACTAAGGTTTTAAAAACTCAAGGCTACCAACATCAGCCCTGAATCTAGAAAATACATTTTCTTTCCAAATAATCTGATAATGTTTATGTAAAATTAAAATTTTATTATTCCCCAGTGTACTGCTATCACCAGTCACTCTTCAGACTCTTTTTGTTCAGGTTCAAAATAATCCCTGGCACTTGTAATCAAATGATCTCGCAATGGGTGTGTGAGCTAATTTGAATCTCATGGGGCCAAAGTAAGCTGATAATGTGTTTCTCTCACAATCATCCACATTATCTGTTTATAAACAGCCTTATTTAATTTGAACTGAATTTGCAAACTTGGAACATTCTTAACTTTTCCCATCCCTTATACATAGGTCCAATTGCTTTGTTTTATTCTTGACTCCAATCCTAAGAATGATGTACATCTTCCCCAGGCATGTAAAGGAGAGAGGGAAAAAAATCAGCTGGCCAATGTGACAAAAACTCTTTGAGTTCCCAATAAAGAAGTGGCAAACATAAAACACCAATATTGCCAAAATATTTACTGAAAGTTTTCAAATCTTTCAAAAATGTTATAAAAAGTGAGCAAACACATTAGACATTGAAAACTAATATCTTGGTGAGTCTACATAGGCATGTAGGGGCAAAGGGAACATATATGAGCATTTACTATGATTAGGTTCTTTGACACATATTTTATTTGAGCCCATTCAAAGAAACTTATCCCAGACTTGGAAATTAAGGCCAAAAAAACAAACAAAATAAAACAAAAAAACAGGATTGTGTGACCTACTAATATTATGCTAGCCCATTGTTCATCAAGCCCATCCAAGGACCATTTGACTCGTTTGGGAAATAGAACTTTGACTAATAATTTAATAGGAACCAGATTAAGAACCCTGTAAAGTTGGATGTTGACTTGTAAAAAATTGATAAGGCATGGGGATGACTTGTTTTTGCTTTCTGGTAGAGAAATTCACCTCCATGGTCATAGTTTTATTTCCCTGTAGGACACTGACCCGTTTTATATCTTACTTTGCAATCTCATTTCAAGGCCTTTCACAGTGATTAGCTAAATTCTACTTCTTCACATCCTTTTCAATTGCTCTTTTATTCTGATGGTGAATTTAATGAGCCTAACCTCATCATCTATTCCTCTGAGAATTATATTTTTAATGATTTGAGAATTTGTGCTTTGACAGTCCTCAAACAGCCACATGAGGTAGGTAGCATATCTTCATTTTGCAGAGGAAGAAACTGAGTCTCAGAGAGGCACTTCACCTGCCGAGAGTTATAGAGGTAAGAAGCAATAGAGCTGGACTTTGAACACAAATCTGCTTGAATTCTTTTATGGAAACTACATTGGTGATTCACATTTGGACAAGAGCATCTCCAAAAAAATCAGCCTCATCTACATATGTTTATTTTGGAATTATAAGCATTAGAGCTAAAAACCAAAAGCAACTCACTCTGAATGACTTAAGCCTGGGTACTTAATAGTAATTGAAAAGAATGTTGATTAATTTGGTTTCAAATGGAACTTTTTAAAATAAGAAATGTTGAAAGTATTTGCCCATATACTGTATGGAATACTATCATTAAAGTTGGAAATTTCAATGCTTTGCTGGTTCCATTGATGGTTCAGGATAACACAGGGCAACTTCCTACCAAGATTGTTATAGAAGTCATTGAAAAGTATTTAGAACACTTACTAGAGAGCCTCTCTTTGACATTTCATGAACAGGTCCATGTAAGTTTTTTGAATAAATTTGACCAAATTACCAAGTTATCCCCCAGCTAAAATGCTCAATCTGTACCATCTTTAGACTAGCATAAAAATGAGGAACACCGATGAGTTTTTCTATTCTTCAGGCATGAAGGTGATTTTTGTTCTGGCTGAACCCACAGATAGATATCAAGTCTAGGAAGGTATCTTAATCTGAAAGCATCTTAGTATAACTTTAAATATTAAAAGTATATCTTGGGAAAGGCTGATCTTACATATACGTTGTTTATCTGTAAACAACCATGCTTTCTCAGCTGGGGTATATACCTTTTGAATGCACCCTTTTATCCACCTGAAGATGCATTCAATGTATATGCAGATTTACAAGTTTTCTCAATACATAAAATTCTAAAGTTCAGGTCAACTGGTATCTAAACTGATAAAACCCTGTGCTTATATTGTGAGGGTTTTGTCTGCCAAATCGCAAATTAGATGGTGACCATCTGACTTGGTTTCTGGTAGAGTACACCACTATCTGATAGGCACCAGGCAGCCGTCTGCCACAGATTTAAATTAAGTGAGGCAACCTGCCCCACTCCTAGCCCCAACCCCAAGCTCCAGAGCCAGCTGAATTCCAGCTCCAGCTGAAGTGGAAAGATAACTATGTGGTTCAAATTCATCTTGACTCACAGTTTCACTGTTTTATCCTAGTTAAAGCTGCTCACTGCGTCTGTGGTTTTCTTACATAAATTTTCAATCCAACTAGTGCTATTACTCAGTGTCTTTTCCAACCCCGATGTTGGGGGTGGATTTTTAGCCCGCATATTTTTTCCAGATGTGATAAGCTCTCCGTAGCCCTCTTGGTGAGCAAAAGCATATCCAGATCTTCTTGAGCTTGATCTACGAGTCTGAGGCCTTCGGCTACGCAGAGGCCGTGCCTTCCTTTGAGCCTTCTGTCGCTGGCGGATCTGGAGAGGAAGGAGACCCAGAGTGAGATGGTGCATCCAAATAACACACTCTAGGCAGTGGACCACTCTGTGAAGTGAAAGCCTTCTCGGTAAAAACAATATCAACATCAACAAAATACTCACCTTAATCGCAAAACAGAGTTTTTCAGCTAAAAACTAAGAACTTTTCTAACTAATGGATTACCCTGGGCACTGGTCAGTTTTTATTCCTACCAAGAGACTAATAAGTAAGCAAGAAGTATTAAGGCAAATTTTATTATTGTCTCCATCTCATATATCCATCTTAAATGAATAGGAACATACTTTAAGATTTTCTAGCATGCACCACCCAAACATGGTCAGTATAACACTTTACAGTCCCCTTTCTCCTCAAAACAGGCCTTTTCTTCTTTTGGAGATTCTCAGAATCCAATAGTCATTAGGAACTAGACAAGGACAAAGTTTTAAAAATGAGAATCAGAAATTTTCAACTCTTGTGGTAGGTCAAGGTATCATGAGATTTTCAGGGTTTTAATTTCTTTGGAGGTGGGGTTTGGTCACCTTTTGAAGAGGCCAACATCATTTGGGTGGGTTTCCAATATTTCTTTCATTTCCCTCTAAAGTTGAGGAGAAAAGATCCAAGGTTTAGAACAAGGTTTGCAATCCACCTTGTTCTCTGATTCAGCTGATTGTTTGGACTCCGATTTTTGTGTCAGTAAAAAACCGTTAAGCAGAAAGTCACGATCTGACTAAATATAGCAAGAAATGATCATCGTCTTTCTTCCTTCAACTCATCCATCATTTTCTTGGTTTACATAAGAATGAGCTTTCACAGGCAAAGGGAAAGGACGACATTAGAGGGGACTCTAGGAATCATTTCAGAAGGAATATTTTTATAGTTTGGCCCCAGAATGAGAGGGACAGCATGACAAGGAATGTTCCATTTCAGTTCCTCTGAGCATCGTTGGTCTGGTTGTTCATCCCATTAGTGTCTTTACCCTTCTCTTGATGTGTCTACAAATGTATCTCCCCTTCTTTCTCCTTTTCTCTTTTTACCTGCATCCAGTCCTAACTTGGCATTGTCCTGCTTATTCTCCTCTTCCCATGAAATACTGAAATATGTTATGGTAATCCCTTGGTTTAGGCATTCCTATAATCCATTCTATTTTCCAATCCATCCATTATGCTGCTATTCCCTTTCTTAATCTGTTCAGAAGGTAAAATCTCCTCCATGTTTCTGAATCTGCACTACATTTCTACAAATATTTAGAGCTCTTCCTACCTTGATTGTCTCTTTTTTACTGTACCCTTTATTTGCCCCCAAGATAATAACTTTCCCCATTGCTTGTCTTTCCCTTGGAACAAATTGTCCAAAATGCTTCCAGTCAACTTTTTAAAATACCCAACTTCACTTGTAATTTATGACTCCCCACCCATATTTAGTCTAGACATTTGTCTTTATTGGTCATTACTCATAAGGCTAGTACATTCAGATGTAGGCAGTTTCATCTTCTGTGATGTGACATTGTGTACTTGAGGGTGTTTGCCAATGGGAAGTTCATTGGCCCTTCACTGGGCTTCCAATCAGGCAGAGAAGAACACAATTCCAAGAACCAAGAACCAGCCCTTCAAGGACTCACCAGAAGTACAACATACCTGGTCACTCAGGGTCGGGAATAAATCCACCTTCAGAAATCTGAATGCCAGCACAGGCATAACTGAAACCACTGTCGTTAGGAGAATGACCAGCCAGATGCACTTCTGGGTCAAGGAATGTCGTGCATTTCCTATAAACACAATTATACTTTGTGTTTATAAATAGAATTGAATGGTTGAATTAATAGGCTTGTTGTCTATACCCATAAGGCCTTTTTAGGGATGGTGATATTTGGACCATCTAAGAAGAACCACTAATTTAGGTGTCTTCTCC